AGTTAATGTTTTTGTAGATCTAAAGTTCAGCTGTAAAGCAGTACAAAAATATTTATTCAAATATTAAAAAATTGTTTTGAAAAGTGAAAAGATCATTTATGTGAAATTTTTGGTAATATTGAAACTAAACATTTCTAAAGTAGTTGGGCTGCTATCTTCAAAACATTGTCACAAAAAATATCTTGAAATTAACTTCAACATATTTTTGAAAATAACATAAGAACACGATTTACAACTAAAATGTTTTAAAAAACAATTATAAAATTTTTTTCTAATCTGACTTAAAAAGCATCATTTAAGCATTAATGTTTTTTCACTTTACTCTGAATTACAAATTTTCAGTATATATCCAAATAGTTTAAAATTTTAATCTAGAATATCCTAGTCTAAATATCAGCATTATAAAGATTTTAAAAGTTAGGAAAGCTCCTGCTTTAAAATCATTTCTCCATTTTTTTCCTAAAAGCTTTCTTATCTATATTTTCTTAATGCATTATGTTTCAACTTTTCTAATTAAATATATACCATTTCTTATTCTTTTTGTTTTTTACTTTACAAATCTATTCCATTATCCAAGTGTTTAACTATAGCATTGAAGTTGACAATAAAAATGAAATTATTTTAATATTTTGGAAATGAATGGGTTCATTTCTGTAGACTAGCTACAAATTCTGAAAAATCTTAAGGTCTACATCCTGTAAATAATGATATGGTACTTTTCAAATTTAGCAAATTTTTTAAAGAACAAAACAAGTAACATCCATTTTAATTAATCTTCTAAAAACATATTAAATTTTATCCTTTAGCTATTAATGTGTAATCAAAGTTTAATTACTTTAATGTTAAAAGAAAATCTACTAAATTTAAAACTTTAGCTTTTTTATTTATTCTATTTAATCCATTATTAAGTTATTCCACATCATTGATTATTTTCAAATAAGTATAGTTATATAATTACCACATACTATTAAATTAGTTTTTTTATAATAGCCATCTATTTAAAATTAATAAATTCAGAAACAGCATCCTTTTTTCATGTATAATGAATTTTTCAGTATAAAGTGCTCATAGCATAAATTTCGTAACTAGAAAATAAAATAACCTAATATAACACACAATAATATATTAATTATAATATTAGTCAGACAGTTAATATATAAACATGTACAGTACAATATATTGTGTATAAATACAATTACCTACATACAATATTTTACATCTATGTATTATGTAGATATAATATATTATTAATTATTATACTAAATATTTAATATACAATATAATAATAGCCATATAATTCAATAAATCTATTTATTATATTATATAGATAAGATAGAATATATATATTCCTCTGCTAACTGCTGATGATAGTTGTAAAGTGTAAAAGTATGAGTTTTCTAAAAAGTTTTTACTTTGAGAAAAACAGTTTGAATTGATGTTTGAGGAGCTTCCTTAATAAATATATACATTATTTATATATTAGTGTGCATATATATATGCATGCATATGTAGTAATTTTAAAATTTCACTATATGACATAAAATTGAATATATTATTAATTTGTATTTTAAATCAGTATATATAATTTATATATGTAGATAAATATATATTCTAGTATACATAATTATGCGTAAAGAACATACTTTAAAAAATTTTTAATTTATTTTTACAGATCTAAATTTTTCATTCATGTGATAACACTATCATTTTCATTGAAATGTACAGTACATATTGTCTTTTAAAGAGAATACACTAATACCTACATTCAAGTATTTTATTTCATATAAAATTTAGATAATGCAACAGTTATATATGAATGCAAGATTTATATGTAATACAAAATCAAAATATATAATTTGCAAACTGTTTTATTTCAATCAAGAAATAAAATTACCTTATTATTATTATTGACATTGTCATCAAGACCAGTAGCATTAATTTTACAATTTATCAATTAAGTTCTCTTATTTTATAATTTGGAAGTTTTCTTGAAATTAATAACATAACACAAATTAAAAAAGAAAAAACAAAATTAAAATCTCTATCATCATCTAATTATAATCTGCTGTTTCTAATAGCAAGGAGGTCACACTTCAGAGGAAAAGAATTTCTTAGATGTCTCAGAATATGCAAAAAGAAAAATTGCAACTAAAAGACATTCATAAAATTTATTTTTACATCTTTAGATTGCATCACCTTACTATAAGTATCGTATCATATGAAGTAAAAAGAATGCAAGTTAGAAAAACAAAATAACATATTTAATTAATCAAATTTATCATCACATCACTACCCACTTTACTGCAGAAAGTTAAGAAATCAAAGAACTCTTTTACATTTTAAAAATTGTAAAGTCATAACTAGAAATCAAATTTTAAATGAAAAAAAAGTGCATAAAAATCTTGTCACATTTTTATCTAAACTATATTTAAAATTTGCTAATAAAAACACGCATCTTTTCATTTTTTTTTAACAATTACTAATTTTACACGTTATAATTTGAAACTTCAAAAACAAAGAAAATTGCCATATAAAGTACTGAAGTATTTCATATATTACCAAAAACAAGCAAAAATTTTATCAAATACTTTAAGTCTATTCATTCATTTTTATGGCAGGATTTCTATTTAACCACAAAATCTCAATAAATGAATTAGACACTTATGGTACTCAGAGAGAGAGAGAGAGAGACCTACCACAGATGATAATAGAAAATATTTATTAGAGTCATAAAATAAAGCAATAATTGAAACAATATAAAAAACATTAAAAAACTTTTTAAAGCAAGTTAACTTATCTAAATTCAAATGTGTAAATGAAAATCATTTTCCAGTTATGCCATTATCTTATCTAAACCATTAGTAAATATAAAATATAGAGTTTAAATCATGCAAAATTATAATTTTATATATTTACATTTATATATATCATACTTTAAATTACAACTTACGTATTTAATTATTATTATTTTGGCTATGAAAGGCTCGATATTGGAAGAAGATATACAAATAATGACGGTTAAACACGGATGTATTCTATAAAATGCTTGTAAATATAGAAAATAAGCGAGTGTAACATGTAAGAATTAGGAGCCAAGTGCAAAAATGTTTTCATATCAACATTAAGAAACTGAGTTTATAATCATAATAAATCGATTGGATTAGTGTAAGCGGCAATAACAACTCGCCATCAGCTGTTGTCAGTACAACATACGATCAATATCAAAAAAAGTTTACGTTAAAAATTTCTATTTATTTCCCATCATCAATTAAGCATACGTCATACAATTATAATATATAAACTTACCGGCATTTTAACGGAAAAAATAAATAAATAAAAAAAAGCATTCGCCGCACACAAAAGTAGACCACGTCTCTCTTCCTTCGTATATTCAGACTGAGAAACAAGACACTAGACACGAAACCTGGATATGACGTAGTTCAAGCGTCGTCCAATCATTGTTAAGTAAATCTTCAATGTTTCTTCGCTTAACGACCAATCAATTTCGACCTTACAATTGATAATTTTGTTATTATGTATTAAAGTATTTAATTAAATTGTCGTAATGGTAGAATTTAATTAAATAAATAAACAATAATTGATTGAAGTTGAAAATTGAATTAAAAACTGATTTTTCGAACATTACGGAGAGATTGGAACGATGTCTAAACACGTGCAGTATTTTATAATAATGTGTTAAAGGCTATGTGTTTAGCAGAGGATATTTTCAAACACGAAAACTCATATTATGAAATCAATTAATTATATAATTTTCATGTAATTAATTTACTTATAACTTAATTAATTAATATGTCCAACGTTGTTATTATTAATAACAAAGTCAATTGTTTAAGTTGNAAATTTATTTTTACATCTTTGGATTGCATCACCTTACTATAAGTATCGTATCATATGAAGTAAAAAGAATGCAAGTTAGAAAAACAAAATAACATATTTAATTAATCAAATTTATCATCACATCACTACCCACTTTACTGCAGAAAGTTAAGAAATCAAAGAACTCTTTTACATTTTAAAAATTGTAAAGTCATAACTAGAAATCAAATTTTAAATGAAAAAAAAGTGCATAAAAATCTTGTCACATTTTTATCTAAACTATATTTAAAATTTGCTAATAAAAACACGCATCTTTTCATTTTTTTTTAACAATTACTAATTTTACACGTTATAATTTGAAACTTCAAAAACAAAGAAAATTGCCATATAAAGTACTGAAGTATTTCATATATTACCAAAAACAAGCAAAAATTTTATCAAATACTTTAAGTCTATTCATTCATTTTTATGGCAGGATTTCTATTTAACCACAAAATCTCAATAAATGAATTAGACACTTATGGTACTCAGAGAGAGAGAGAGAGAGACCTACCACAGATGATAATAGAAAATATTTATTAGAGTCATAAAATAAAGCAATAATTGAAACAATATAAAAAACATTAAAAAACTTTTTAAAGCAAGTTAACTTATCTAAATTCAAATGTGTAAATGAAAATCATTTTCCAGTTATGCCATTATCTTATCTAAACCATTAGTAAATATAAAATATAGAGTTTAAATCATGCAAAATTATAATTTTATATATTTACATTTATATATATCATACTTTAAATTACAACTTACGTATTTAATTATTATTATTTTGGCTATGAAAGGCTCGATATTGGAAGAAGATATACAAATAATGACGGTTAAACACGGATGTATTCTATAAAATGCTTGTAAATATAGAAAATAAGCGAGTGTAACATGTAAGAATTAGGAGCCAAGTGCAAAAATGTTTTCATATCAACATTAAGAAACTGAGTTTATAATCATAATAAATCGATTGGATTAGTGTAAGCGGCAATAACAACTCGCCATCAGCTGTTGTCAGTACAACATACGATCAATATCAAAAAAAGTTTACGTTAAAAATTTCTATTTATTTCCCATCATCAATTAAGCATACGTCATACAATTATAATATATAAACTTACCGGCATTTTAACGGAAAAAATAAATAAATAAAAAAAAGCATTCGCCGCACACAAAAGTAGACCACGTCTCTCTTCCTTCGTATATTCAGACTGAGAAACAAGACACTAGACACGAAACCTGGATATGACGTAGTTCAAGCGTCGTCCAATCATTGTTAAGTAAATCTTCAATGTTTCTTCGCTTAACGACCAATCAATTTCGACCTTACAATTGATAATTTTGTTATTATGTATTAAAGTATTTAATTAAATTGTCGTAATGGTAGAATTTAATTAAATAAATAAACAATAATTGATTGAAGTTGAAAATTGAATTAAAAACTGATTTTTCGAACATTACGGAGAGATTGGAACGATGTCTAAACACGTGCAGTATTTTATAATAATGTGTTAAAGGCTATGTGTTTAGCAGAGGATATTTTCAAACACGAAAACTCATATTATGAAATCAATTAATTATATAATTTTCATGTAATTAATTTACTTATAACTTAATTAATTAATATGTCCAACGTTGTTATTATTAATAACAAAGTCAATTGTTTAAGTTGCGAATCGTTATTAAATAAAATGAAGTGTTTTATATCAGAGCTTATAATACATGATTGAATATAATATATACTGTATACTGTATTAGAAAAAAATACATTTTTATGTTCTATTCATTTTGTACGTATCCAGTTGAACTGTTTTCGACACGTATACAAATGATTAAAAAATGTTTCAAGAAATATAGTCGACCTCCTATAACACTGTTGATAATTCCGTTTTATATGAATTCCATGTTGTACGAGTCACTTAGATTTTACAAATATATGTGACAGGCTGTGAATGGCTCACGAATTTGTAAAATCTAAGTGACTCGTACAACATGGAATTCATATAAAACGGAATTATCAACAGTGTTATAGGGGGTCGACTGTATAAATGTATATTATACAGTTTTTCTACATTAAAATTTTAAACGCATTGCATTAGCCTATTATTGGTACAATCTTTATTTCTTTATTTTTAATTCTAAATGTTTTTTCCATATTTTTAATGTTTATTCACTGTTAATCAAATTTTATGTCCTTCCTTCCATTTTTTGACTTTAATTATACTTTTTTGCTATGTCACAGTAAATAATAACTCAAATTTAACATATATATTTAATATATGCTTATACGCGTTCAGCCGGAAATGATTAGCGCGTTTAGCCCAGCTGAATCATGTTAATATTCTGTAAAATCACTGCTTTAATGGTAAAAAATATAGAGATATACAACATGAATTTTTTTATTAAAATATCATTTGCGACAAAAAAATCAAGAATTTTTCTGCATTTTGTGTACAAATTTACATAAATCCCGTATTTTATTGACGTTTTAGTGCGTATGTAGGCTATATAAATATGAAAAAATACTTGTCAAAATATGCTATTAATTTCATATTCATTATTTATCATCGATAATTTTACGTAGAGGCAGTAGCGCCAACTTATACGGGCTCGTGGAGCTCGGGCCCACTCAATAATTTAAGTTCACAGAATACCAGTAATTTATTTATTCGTAATTTTGAACCATTTGCGTGGTAGTGTACTGTACAGCAGGGCTGTGGAGTTGGAAAAAATGTGTCGACTCGGACTCCGGCATTTTAAATTTTATTTAAATGAATGAAAATTTATTATATATTTATTAATTTTTTAAAAACTTTTTGTATTTTGTTATAATTAATTTATTCTAAATACAAAAGACAGCAATATAAAATAATTTAACTATTAAACACAAATACATAAGTAACACTACATATTTAATTGTAGTGTTACTTATGTATTTGTGTTTAATAGTTAAATTATTTTGACCCAATTGAATTTGAATAGTTTTGAATCATTCCTTTATTATCCCTGCTCTAAATAAGTACTCATTTCTCTGAATGAGCTAGACCAGGCATGGCCAACATACGGCCCGCGGGCCAGATCCGGCCCGTCTAATGAATTTATGTGGCCCGCGATCAATCTTTCAATATTAGGTACTGAAGTCCGAATAGCTCGATGAAACATTCTGACGCCTAAAAAAAAAAGGTCAACAACTCACTGTGCGTTTAGAGTTAACACTCCATTACAAATGTCGTAAGTACAGCGTAGAGCAGGGGTCGCCAAACTTTTTTGATCGTCAACCCCCTACAACTTTTCGACACCTCACATCGACCCCCACCAAAANAAAAAAAAAAAAAAAGGGTTAACAATTCACTGTGCGTTTAGAGTTAACCCTCCATTACAAATGTCGTAAGTACAGCGTAGAATGTTGATAAAGCAAGATAATGTGAAAAATGTATCTGTAATCTTTCTCTACAATTCAGTCTACAATTGTACTCATTGAAAAATGTATCTGTAATCTTTCTCTACAATTCGGCCCGTGGAAGAAGTTTTCTTACCAATTCGGCCCGGGACAAAAACTGTTGGCCACCCCTGAGCTAGACGAATTGATCAGAGTATATATTTTTCTTTTCTGAACAAGGAGCTGAAGTAGCTAGATCGCATACTGTTTAGTTGGACTAACTTTTCTGGAAGATGAAAATTGAAGTGCAAATTCTGCAGAATAATGATATGTAGATGTAGAATTTTATCGCTCCCCCTTTTTCCTCTTATTAAATATTTGTTAAAATTAATCTTTTTATACAAATAAATATTAATGTAAGTTAAATATTAAAAATACTAACTATAAAAGTATTTGGGTAAACGCTCGGGCTCCTTTCAAAGTTCAGAATAGGGTAACCCTATGAACGCCTCTGCCCCATAAAATGACTTGGTATTTAATTTTGCCAGAGTTGGAGTCGGTCTACTAAAATTATCAGGAGTCGGAATTGAGTGTTTTTTTTTTTTTTTACCGACTTCGCAGCCCTGGTGTACAGAGTACTTCAACTACAGTGTTCCGCCGTTTGTTTTATCGAATACGTGCTTATTTTGAACAAACACAAGTCTCACGCGAAAATTTGTTTAAAAGAAGTCTGTGATGAATTTGCGGGAAGAAGCGCCGCTAAGAGAAATAGAATTTGCAATACAATATGCCCTTTAATGACGACTAATCATTCTTCAGTACATTATTAATAGGNAATTTTTGCAAAATAAAAGTTCGTTAACCGATTTGGTCGTTAACCAGGACGTTCGTTAACCGGGGTTCCACTGTATTTAATTTTGCCGGAGTCGGAGTCGGTCTACTAAAATTATCAGGAGTCAGAGTTGAGTGTTTTTTTTTACCGACTTCGCAGCCCTGGTGTACAGAGTACTTCAACTACAGTGTTCTGCCGTTTGTTTTACCGAATACGTGCCTATTTTGAACAAACACGAGTCTCACGCGAAAATTTGTTTAAAAGAAGTCTGTGATGAATTTGCGGGAAGAAGCGCCGCTAAGAGAAATAGAATTTGCAATACAATATGCCCTTTAATGACGACTAATCATTCTTCAGTACATTATTAATAGGCCGGATGCCATCAATTTTAATCAATTTTTTGAATATCCTGGTTGGGTCAGACTCACAACGAGAGTGACTAGTTTGTAAAAGACAAAGCCTGACATATTCCGGGCAGATCACTTTCCGATAAAACCACTGGCCGAGTGGATAAAACCACTAAACACCGGTCGTAAACAATGGGCTTGACCATTTGGAGTTTCTGGGGTTTTATAACACTAAAATAGGAGCCAGTTTCTCATAAATGTCCTCCCGAGGGCATCTCTCCTCGACAGATCATCCACGTGTCTCCAAATAAGTCGCCAAATAAACGAAACCTGAAAAACTGGGGTTTTGTCAACCTCTCAAATTCAATCCCGAGTCTTCCTGAGCAGCAGATTAAAGTCTTAATTGTTTCAGTCATGCGGTCAACCAGATAAATTGTATTCCATTTCTTAACACTCAACAGACTATTAACGGCCTGTTTGAATTCATGATGAGTGCGGGAGAAGACCTTCTAAGTATCACAAAACGGAAAGAAGTTTAAAGAATCTCCGAAAATTAATCAGTACGTAAATTTTTCTTTATTAACAATCTAAAATAAAATATTTAATGATATTAATTTATTTTAAATTAAGTGTCGCCGAATCTATAGTTTATACTGTAGAAGCTTTGCCTATATTGAGACAATAATAATAAATAAATACAGTCGACCCCCCATTACACTGTTGATAATTCCGTTTTATATGAATTCCATGTTGTAGGAGTCACTTAGATTTTACAAATATCTGAGCCGTTCACAGCCCGACACACGTATTTGTAAAATCTAAGTGACTCGTACAACATGGAATTCATATAAAACGGAATTATCAACAGTGTTATNAAAAAAAAAAAAAAAAAAAAAAAAAAAAAAAAAAAAAAAAAAAAAAAAAAAAAAAAAAAAAAAAAAAAAAAAAAAAAAAAAAAAAAAAAAAAAAAAAAAAAAAAAAAAAAAAAAAAAAAAAAAAAAAAAAAAAAAAAAAAAAAAAAAAAAAAAAAAAAAAAAAAAAAAAAAAAAAAAAAAAAAAAAAAAAAAAAAAAAAAAAAAAAAAAAAAAAAAAAAAAAAAAAAAAAAAAAAAAAAAAAAAAAAAAAAAAAAAAAAAAAAAAAAAAAAAAAAAAAAAAAAAAAAAAAAAAAAAAAAAAAAAAAAAAAAAAAAAAAAAAAAAAAAAAAAAAAAAAAAAAAAAAAAAAAAAAAAAAAAAAAAAAAAAAAAAAAAAAAAAAAAAAAAAAAAAAAAAAAAAAAAAAAAAAAAAAAAAAAAAAAAAAAAAAAAAAAAAAAAAAAAAAAAAAAAAAAAAAAAAAAAAAAAAAAAAAAAAAAAAAAAAAAAAAAAAAAAAAAAAAAAAAAAAAAAAAAAAAAAAAAAAAAAAAAAAAAAAAAAAAAAAAAAAAAAAAAAAAAAAAAAAAAAAAAAAAAAAAAAAAAAAAAAAAAAAAAAAAAAAAAAAAAAAAAAAAAAAAAAAAAAAAAAAAAAAAAAAAAAAAAAAAAAAAAAAAAAAAAAAAAAAAAAAAAAAAAAAAAAAAAAAAAAAAAAAAAAAAAAAAAAAAAAAAAAAAAAAAAAAAAAAAAAAAATACTACTTACACCGCAGTATTTACTTCTTTTATTCCAAAGTAATTCTAAGAAACTATTAATGCTTGGAATTTTAAAAATAAAGCAATAATTAAAAAAATCAATTTATTATAAATAATTTAACAAATATAAATTATTATTTAAAAAAATGCTAATCACAAAAAAAATTATAAAATATTTGGTGTTCCACGAGTATAAAAAGGTTAAGAACCACTGTTCTATGGGAAACTAACCCTTATTTAGATGTTAGACTAGGAAAATTCTACATTGTCAGTCCGTTGGTCACGTGCTAATCTACAATAAAACTATCAGTAGACCGGATGATAAAAGGAACCCAATGAGAACATTAGTGTCATAACTCCGAAAATGCCATTTTGAGATAATTGCTTTTATAGTTTTTGTCGAAACTTGGTTGAGCAGAAATAAAAACTTGAAGCTATCCAATTGATTATTTTTATAATAGCAAGGACACTTTCAAGTAGATGTTCTAGCTATAAAAAGTTCGTTTTTCTTGTCTTTTAAGTTATTATGTAATTTTTTTTTTAATTCTAGTTACACTAAAGCATAAAAATTTCAGTAAGTGTTAAACATTTTGTGGAATAATGACATAACACACACATTTTACTGTAAATGGTTGGAAGTCTCATGGTGTTAATAACTCAAAATCGACATTTCGGAGTTATGTCACTAACGTTCTCAGCAGGTTATAGAATGTCTCCATCACATTTCCACACTTCTTTGACTTGCCCGGTCTTCAGATTTGTTACACATCAATCATTTGTGATACCAGATGAGATACCAACTTCAGCCATCTACAAGTATATAGAATCAAAAATAGCAGTTGCAACGTCTGTGGGCAAATCTGCCGCAGGATAACATACGGTATCTGTAAGCCTCCATACTCGACCCTATCACCCCGCATGTATCCATGCAAGATGAAGTTCTACGGATAATAAAGGTTCCTTTAAATTGTACTATTGTTCCACTTGAAATTATTTCTGTTATGATATTGTAGTCACTTATACCCTTGTTATTATGTTCGCACTAATAAAGCTTTATTCGATTCCAATGCCTCCGTCTTGGTGCGTAACTTTTATCTACACATGCATACATTTTTAATCAATAACTGTATTTCGTTTTCCGTTTACTTTTTCAAATTTAATTTCGTTTTCTAACTCTGGTACAGTGCATCCAGTGCACCCCGCATTTGCAGGGATTATAATAATAATACCACGATGTTAATAAATATGTAATATGATGCATATAATTTTTTATTATATATCGATTTTGAATTCTAAAAATAATCTATATTGTATATTATCATTCCAAAACAAAAAATAATTACACGCAGTCATTTGAATTACATAGTTGTATAATTACCGATATGTATTAATAAGACATCAACAATTTGTATAAAATATTAATAAAAGTTACTTTTTTAATTCTGAAAATATTAATACGACATAAAATAATCGTAATAAAATTTCAGTTATTTTTATTTTATATGTTTTACATTTATTCTTTCAGTTATTTCATAAATATATTTCTTAAAAAGTATTTGTATAGCTGGCAACACTTATTAAATGGAAGACACGTGAATATTGTATATTTGATATTTGTGAACGTGTTTTTGTATTTTCTAATTGAAAAGATATCAACATTGTTTGATATCTTTTCAATTAATAACTGTATACCATAACAGCTTAAAAAATAAAATGGATACAGTAGATTCAGGAAATCAACAAGTCTCTGAAATGAGAGACGAACACCCTTTAAACGAAAACATCGAAGATGTTAAAGAAGAAGAAGAAAAAGAAGCTGAAAAAATTATTGATCCTTATTTTTATACAAAGAGAGATGAATTTACTTCAGAAATTTTTAAAATTGAAATAGGTAATCTTCCGCCTTTTATTAGATATGGACCATTGAAAAAACTTTTAGGGACTAAACTAAAGTTAAATCCTCATAAAATAAAGACGATTGGAAATTCGCCATTATATTCATTCGTTACATTCAAATGTGAAGAAGACAGAGAAAAAGCTCTCAATGTTTTGCAAGGATATGAGTGGAAGGGAAGAAAACTGCAAGTTAAGAAAGCAAATCCTATGGCAGATCCTTTAGTAAAAAAAAGAAAGCAAGGTAATGCAGAAGATTCACCTGCAGTAAAAAAAGCTAGAATGGAAGGAAGTGATATACCTATATCAATTCAAATAAAAAATGCTGTTCATCCATTATGGAATTTGCCTTATGAAGAACAACTTAAATCTAAGATGAATCAGATATCTCAGTTTTTAATAAAATTATGTGTACGTATTGAAAAGACAAATACGTACTTAAGGCATTGGAGTCAAAAACAAAAGAAGCTATATGAAGGCATGTGTTGTGAACTATTGCCAATTAAACCTTCTCCAGTCACTAGTGCTTATCGAAATAAATGTGAATTTACTGTTGGAAAGCATCTTGATACTGGAGAGAAAACTGTAGGTTTCAGATTAAATTGCTATAAAAGTGGTTCAATGAGTGTTGCAGAACCTGACGAATGCATAAATATTCCAGAATCAATGTTAAAAGCTGTAAAATCATTTCAAGATTACATAAGATCTTCAGATAAGGATGTTTTCAATCCTGAAACTCATGAAGGTTATTGGAGGCAACTTACTGTGAGGACTGGCAAAACTGATGTTTTATTAGTTGTAGTAATGCACCCTCAAAAATTGGAAGAGGAAGAATTACAAAAAGAGAAAGAAGCTTTAGTGGAATATTTTCAGAATGGATTGGGTAAGATGTGTGGAGTGACTTCTCTTTATTTTCAGTCATTTGTGAAAAGAGAATCTAATAAAGATTTAATTATGACACATCTTTGGGGGAAAAAATACATTGAAGAAAATGTATTAGGATTAAAATTTCAAATTAATCCTGAGGCCTTTTTTCAAATAAATACATCTGGAGCCGAAGTTCTATATTCAACAATAGCAGAATTAGCTGAAATTGATAATGAAACAACTATTTTAGATATTTGCTGTGGCACTGGTACAATTGGATTATGTTTAGCAAAAATTGCACCTAAAGTTATTGGTATTGAAATGTGTTCTCAAGCAATAGAAAATGCAAAATCAAATGCACAGATAAATAATATAAATAATGTTGAGTTTGTATGTGGGAAAGCTGAAGATTTTATTCAAACTGTCCTTCAAAAAGCAGATACAGAAAATATTGTTGCCATTGTAGATCCACCTAGAGCAGGACTTAATTCCAAAGTTCTTAAATTCATAAGGGCAAATGAGAAGCTTAAAAAACTTATATACATTGCTTGTAATCCAGATGGTGCTATTCAGAATTTTGTTGATTTGTGTCGTCCTGTATCTAATAATTACAGAGGAGAATCATTTGTCCCAACTAGAGCAGTGGTTGTTGATTTGTTTCCACATACTAATCATTGTGAATTGGTAATTGTGTTTGAAAGATACAGCAAAACTAAGGAGAATAATGCTTAATGTCATTTTACAAGTTTATTAGAAATTTTTATATCATATTATTGAATCAGCATATTATTCAATAATATATTTAGAATTTTTATAATTTAACACAAATTTTTAAATATGTTCAGATCATAAATTGTATGANGTATACTGTATTAGAAAAAAATACATTTTTATGTTCTATTCATTTTGTACGTATCCAGTTGAACTGTTTTCGACACGTATACAAATGATTAAAAAATGTTTCAAGAAATATAGTCGACCTCCTATAACACTGTTGATAATTCCGTTTTATATGAATTCCATGTTGTACGAGTCACTTAGATTTTACAAATATATGTGACAGGCTGTGAATGGCTCACGAATTTGTAAAATCTAAGTGACTCGTACAACATGGAATTCATATAAAACGGAATTATCAACAGTGTTATAGGGGGTCGACTGTATAAATGTATATTATACAGTTTTTCTACATTAAAATTTTAAACGCATTGCATTAGCCTATTATTGGTACAATCTTTATTTCTTTATTTTTAATTCTAAATGTTTTTTCCATATTTTTAATGTTTATTCACTGTTAATCAAATTTTATGTCCTTCCTTCCATTTTTTGACTTTAATTATACTTTTTTGCTATGTCACAGTAAATAATAACTCAAATTTAACATATATATTTAATATATGCTTATACGCGTTCAGCCGGAAATGATTAGCGCGTTCAGCCGGAAATGATTAGCGCGTTTAGCCCAGCTGAATCATGTTAATATTCTGTAAAATCACTGCTTTAATGGTAAAAAATATAGAGATATACAACATGAATTTTTTTATTAAAATATCATTTGCGACAAAAAAATCAAGAATTTTTCTGCATTTTGTGTACAAATTTACATAAATCCCGTATTTTATTGACGTTTTAGTGCGTATGTAGGCTATATAAATATGAAAAAATACTTGTCAAAATATGCTATTAATTTCATATTCATTATTTATCATCGATAATTTTACGTAGAGGCAGTAGCGCCAACTTATACGGGCTCGTGGAGCTCGGGCCCACTCAATAATTTAAGTTCACAGAATACCAGTAATTTATTTATTCGTAATTTTGAACCATTTGCGTGGTAGTGTACTGTACAGCAGGGCTGTGGAGTTGGAAAAAATGTGTCGACTCGGACTTCGGCATTTTAAATTTTATTTAAATGAATGAAAAGTAATTTATATTTATTAATTTTTTTCAATTTCTTAAAGTTTATTTTAATCACATATTTCAAGTGATCATAGTTAAAGTATCCCTATGCAATGCTGTCAAGGGAGATTTAATAGTCTAAATCCTACCAAATTTGGTATGGTAACAATTCAGGATAGGAAAGACATTTCTGTAAAAAAAAAAAATTAGTACCAAAATTCATCACTATAGCACTTACTGTAGTGCTGCAAGTAACCAACTTATATGACACTAATACAAAGATCTTGTATTGCTCTACGTGGTTCCCATTCTGAAAGTAAAATCTGAAGGCAATGAACAATGTATTTAATAGACAATGACTGTAATTGATTTTCTGATGTTTCTTGCATAAAGTGAGGTACTGTCTCCCAAGACTGCCAAATTTGTAGTCCAACACACACTTCAGTGTCCCCTCAGTAAAAAGTCAAATTAAGATCATATGACTTGCAGTGCCAAAGTGCCATAATAATATCTTCTAGTTTAATTACCAGTACCAATGAACACCATTACTAAACCATTAATTCTGGTAACAGCATTTAATACACTATCAAACGAATGCTTTCAACCTTACCAAAGTGCCATAATAGTGAGTTTTTGGATACTTAAATTACAATCACCTGTTGTATATAAAAGACAGTTAAAGAAATGAAATTTATCTAGTCATTTTTCCTATAAAAAATAAAACGTTTTCCTATTATGATTCTACTTGCTATGGAGATTTTCAGAAATTCATTGTGCTGCTAAGACTAAGTGTTAAAGAACAATAACTACTAATAATTTTTTACACTACTGTATCTTCTTTTCACATAAATCAAACTAAAGAACAAAGATTGAGTGTAATAAAATGGATTCTTTATTTCAAACTTATACTGTGTTTCAGATAATAAGTGATGATAATATTTTGAAATGAAACATGAAAATGTGTTATATTTTGAAATATATTTTAATATAATAGTGATTTAAGAGAGTTTGACAGTCTAGATTGAAATGCAAAAGGATTGTCATGTTTCTTTCAAAAGGGTTCATATTCTAGTTATCTCTCTAGTTTATTTTTATCTTTGTTCAGTATGACTATCTTAAATATAATAAAGCATGGAGGAGACAATCATTTTTTGCAGTCTAGTTTTTTTAGATTGTAAGCTTTATTTAGTTAGAACTGCAATAAGAAAACTTGAGAAAAAAAGCAAAAATAACTTAGTAAATATTGATCTCAATTGATTCATTAAACCTTTATTAATCGATGTAACTATTACAAGATTAACAAAGTAATTAAATAGTTTTAAAAAAATTAAAACTTGCATATTAAACAAATTGGACAGGTGATATAAAAAACTTTCTAGTTGAAAATCACTAATGGTAGAATACTTCAAGAATAAAATACAACAGTTAAAATGTGCAAAAAACCTAAGTAAAATACTTTAAGTTGTCATAAAGTGATTGGGCTGCAATTCGAAAAAATTGTAGACCTTAAATTCCAACTGTTGTTCATCTACAGTATCTGTCTGTCCTTTCTTTATCTTGAGAATAGTGTTAGATAGATGAACGTTGAGATCAGATATGGAAAGCTTATGAACAGGAGGCTCCAGCTCCAATTAACTATATACAAACTTCTGGTCTAGATTGGGAGTCAAGTTTTCAACTCAAAAATTATCCCAGAATGGAGTTACATAGATGACCAGCATGACTTGTTATCAGGAAAAGTATGATGTACAGGGGCAAGATATTATTAATTTGAGACTGAGAGCATATATTTTTAGATAGATAAATTAAAAATTGCAGCTCGGCATTCTGACAATGTCACAGTAATTTTTGCTCATCACGTTTTGTCCAAATGTCAGTTTTTTATTTTGGTTTCCGAAAGTACACAAAATAACTTTGACCTACATTATGCTTTGCATGCTATTGTTTATGTGAAATAAGAAAACAGCTTTCAGCATGAAGTATCAAATTAGATGCATATAAAACACATTTCAGATGGATTTGTCATCTTAATTATTAATAATTTTTATTTTTAACTTTTTTATGTAACTAAACAGAATTTATTACATATTTTTATTTCAGCTTCCTAATAAATACTTAGAATAATGAAAAGATTTATGGAATCATAAACTTTTAGTCTCAAATTGTCATAAATAAAATTTAAAATTCTTGATCTGGTAAATATGAAAAATTGTTTCCTTAATACTCCTTACACATTATTTCACATAGCATTTTACAATTTTCTTCACAAAACTAAAGAAGTTCTTACTTAAAAAGGATTTTAAAAAATAATTTTATATTTTATATAAGAAGCTATATGTTTTGAAATGACAGTTTGATTTACATAATTCTTCCAAGTTTCAAAATATAATTAAACTAGCTTGTTACACCTGGTTTCACCCAAGTTTATAAAATATGTCTCAGTAATTGTTGCACCCAGTATTATTAATTGTAAATTTTAAAAATGTATATGGCACAACCCATTTTAAAAGCATTATCAGAATATCTATAAACTATGTGGAAAGTATGTTCTTGTAAATGCAAGTTTTATAGAAAAATTGTAGAATTAGTTTGGCTTATTTTGTTATGTTGGTGATCTGTCAAGGAGAATGCCTCACAGGAAGACTTATGGAAAACTGGCCCCTACTTAGGTCTTATTAACATGAAGAAAACTCCAGGTGGCTTGTCTGTTAGAGATGAGCAAACCCACAACCGATTACCAGTGTTCGGTGGTTTTATCCACTCAGCCACTGGTGGACACTTATTACAATTAAGAAAGTACCATTCAGATATGAAAAACCAAAGTTGTTAGATTTGAAAAATTAAATACTTATATAGCAGGGGTGGGCAAGCAAGAGTTCAGTGGGAGCCGAAATGTAGGTTTTGCAAAATTCATGGGAGCCGCAGTTCTGTACTTTTTTATTCTGTATTGCAGTTCTGTAGCACGATTTTATTATATAATATAAATATTATATAAAACAAATATTGAATTTCCACAATTTTGTGAAAATATGTTTATTAAAAAACATATTTTCACAAAATTGTAAAAATAATAATAAAAAGCAGAAATTAACATTTTCAGCAAGAGCCGCATGTAACTCAAAAAGAGTCACATTTGCCCATGTCGGTTATATANAAATGTGTTTCCTAAAGACAAAAAAGCATTCGCATTTTTTTCACACGATTTGTATCTTTCGACTTTCGGTCCTTCTTACTTAATGTCTAAAGACGAATTATATACAGTATATCAAACATTTGTCGTCTCTAAACATTTTCCTTATAAGGAAGCTATGGAAAAAATGTAAGTATTAATTATATATAATTTAAATATATATATAATTTAATTATATCCTTTTTTATATGAATTATATTTAATTTATTATTTATTTAAAAAATCTTTTTGCCAATAGATAATGCTACATATAAAACCAGTAAATTGCATGTACTGTACACAGAAATTAATTGATATATAGAAATCCAATCAATACTTTTGGATGGAATATATCACATTATCTAAGTTAGATGTATGTTGCCAAGTTTTGTAGCAATTGGTAAAATAGCTAGGTGTGAGGCTCCGGAAGTAGGTCGAAATTCGCGCAAGATAATGTTTTAATTTCGTATAAAAAAAAAGTGTTTTTTTTTTATTATAATAATAATATATTGTAAAAAGAAACCGTCTAACGCAAGGTGAATATATTATGTCCATATATAGTCCTATCTGTAGAAATTTCTGAGAAAAGACGAATTTCTCAGAAAGAAACAATAGATGAATTTGAGTTCTTAGATCGAACATCTTCGATAGGAATCAAATTGTCCGTCGGGGGGGACTCACCCCCTCAATCTGGGCTCCGATCCCGTTACAATTCGTAACGAGGAAGGGAGACCAATTAGAGAACGGGGGCAGATCGACATCGCCCTATCGG